TATGGGCCGATTGCCCCTTTTAGCCGCTGCTTCATGCTGCTACGCTTCGCACTTTGCAGCCAAGGTGATAGAATAGAAACCGAAAGTGAAAACAGTGCTGTTCCTCCTTGCTACTGCTGCACTACCACGCACAAGAGCTGATAGCCCTTATCAGGCCGATCGCCTGGAGCTGCTCCATGTGTTCGCAGCTCCGCACATTGGGGCAGCTGCCCTGAACGTGATAGCCAAGCCAGGAGGCTAAAAGCCTCACTCCTTGGCTACAGAGTCCTCCAAAAGCCTCTGCTGCTCTTTAAAACTTTTCTTATGCAAAAAGTCTCCCCTTGCAATTCAAGTGGAGCCTCAGCAACTCATGTCCTGTCCTGGCTGGACTGAGCTGAAAACCGGGGTGAGGCCACGGCGCAGGGCGGAGCTTCAGTTTTAATGCAGACTCAGTCCAACAGGGCAGGATCTGATTTAACCCTTTCTATCTGGACTCTTGGAGCCACAGATAGGAAAAGAGGAGCAAAGGGAGGATGCAGAAAAACCTGGGAAGATACTCACGTGGAAGCACTGGGTGGGTTGTGTGATGCTGTCTGGTTAGGCAACAACTGATTGCCACTGCTTAGTGTCGAATCTGAGCTGCTGTCGGCTACCACAGAGCTGTAACCTGGCAGGAAACAGAAAGGCTGAAGGTTTCTCTAGCACAGAGCTCTGGATCGTTCGTCTTGTTTCCCTGCTTATCCCATACCAGCTTTTTCCACAACTAGCTGCCCTCTGGATGAGTTGCACTTCAACTGACTGCCAAGCCTGATAGGATTTACAGGAACTGAATCCCACACACCTGGAGGACAGCAGACTGCAGAAGATTGTTCTCAGCTAATACAATAGTCTAGATACAGGTAGTCCTCGGCTTTACGACTGGCTGCTTAACAACCATTTGAAATTACAACGGACCTCCCCAGAGCAACTTATAACCTGTTTCCAGAGTTACAATGACTATATACCCGCCTGTGGTCACATGATGGCATTTTGGGGGTTTGGCAGCCAGGTCACCTTTATGTCCGTTTGCAGCATCCCACAGTCACGTGACCCCAATTTACCTTTTTGGCTGGTTTCCGGCATTTATTTCCTTTTTCCAGTAAAAAAAACACCGATTTGGGAAGATGGATTAGCTTAATGACTGTGGTGTTCACTTAGTGACTGAAGTGCTCATTTGGATGCCTCACGTGGATGCCTCAACCTAAGACTACAATGACCTACAACTGTTAATTCTGGCCTCAATTACAGTTTTCAGTTGAGAACCACCTATACTAAGCTCACTGTGAAAGTAACAGCAATGATATACAGGTAGTCCTCGGCTTACAACAGTTCATTTAGTGACCATTCAGAGTTACAATGGCAGTGAAAAAAGTGACTGACCGTTTTTCATACTTACGACCATTGCAGCATCCCCATGGTCACACAATCAACATTCAGACTCTTCGCAACCGACTCATACTTATGACGCTTGCAGCGTCCCGGAGTCATGTGATCCCCTTCTGCAACCAGCAAAGTCAATAGGGAGGCCAGATACACTTAACAACTGTGTTACTAACTTAACAAATGCAATGATTCACTTAACAACTGTGGCAAGAAAAGTCGTAAAATGGGGCAAAACTCGCTTAACAAACATTTCACCTTGCAACAGAAAATTTGGGGTCAATTGTGGTCGTAACTCGAGGACTACCTATATAAGCAAAAGCTCACCCGTGTGCCCCAACAATGGCAAGAAGCTTCTTTAAAAATCATGTTCTTCAGCATGACTGCAGGTTTTACACCCCAGGAAGCGCAGAAAACCTGAAAGAGCAGCCACCCCTGGAACCTGGGGCCCATCCATAGTAAACTCACTAGTTGCACCATTCTGTTTGCTGGCGTTCTGCTGGGTGCTAGGAGGCCGGGGCTGCAAGGCGTTGGTGCTGGGAGGCAGGGGTGCCACAGCCTGCGCATAAGGGGTCGGGGTAGTCGGTGCGTGCCCTGCCAGGTTAGCTTTGTTGCTTGCATTCCCACTGCCAGCGATTGCCCCGTTGCTGTTGGAGTCAGGCCCATTGCCCACGGAGGATGATGTGCTAGAGCTGCCGCCCATCGGGTAGCTGGGAGGGATGGTGGGAGGAGGCTGGTGGAGGCCTTTTGAACCGTTCTTTGCTGGGGACTAAGGCAGAACAGAGAATGGAATGTTTGTTTTCATTTGTCTACCCCAGGGGTCTGCAACCTTAAACACTCAAAGAGCCATAGGGACCTGTTTCCCACAGAAAAAGAAAAAACACCGGGAGCTACAAAACCTGGGTGGGCATGGCCAACTCGATGTCACTCACTTCCACCCAGTCACATGACCCCCTAGCCACACCTACCCAGCCACAAAACCCTTCTATCTCCCACCCTCTTTCTCCCACTTCTCTCTGTATCTCAAACCCATGTACCCCTCTCTGTATTTCTCTCCCCCTCTTCCTCTCTTCCCCTCCTTCTGTATCTCTCTCCCTCTTCCCCCCCTGTATCTGTGTGTCTCTCCCTGTCTCTCTCCCTCTCCCTATCTTCCCCTTTCCCCCAGCTTGCTCTACTCTCTCCCCCCTCTCTGTGTGTCTCTCCCCCTTTACCTATTTTCCCCTCTCTCTCACTCTCTCTGTATCTCTCTCTCTGTGTCTGTGTCTCTCTCCATCTCTCTCTCTCTGTGTGTCTCTGTGTGTATATGTGTGTGTGTATCTCTCTCTCACGCGCTCTTGCGCTCTGTCTCTGTGTCTCTTCTCTCTCTCTTGGAAAGCTGCGACTGGGCCAAGCCAGCAAGCTCTCCTTTGGGCTCTTTGCTACTCCTTTATTTCTTCTTTTTGGAAATCCAAGCTGAGAAACAAGCACCAGCCATGGCGGAGGCTTCCCTTCAGGCGACCACCCCTTCTCCTTTCATGACCCCCTGGCCAGCTGTGGTGGGGCCGGGAGGGTGTGCACATGTGGGGAGACCCTCAAGCGAGCGGCCAGGCTCGGCCAAAGCACAGCAAAGGAACGCACGTGCGGGACAGGCGCTTGCTTAAGGAGGGTCTCCCCGCACGTATGCACCCTCCCAGGGGGTCACGAGAGGAGAAGGAGAGGGGAGGAGGAAAAGGGTCACCCGAAGGGAAGCCTCTGCCACAGCTGGTTCCTCAGCCAGCCCGGATTTCCAAAAAAAAGAAATAAAAGGAGTAGCGAAGAGCCCCAAGGAGAGCTTGATGTGCGAGCGACTTTGGCGAGGGCGCTCAGGCTTTCTCCGAGCCTGACCCCCATGGTGGGCGTGCGAGTTTCAGCAGGGCCAGTCCCCTTTTCCTGCTGCCCTGAGCTTCTTAAAGCCGTGGCTGGGCATTGCAGGCCCATCCCCCTTTCCGACATCCTCTCCTCCTGGATCCCATTCCCACCCCACCAGCTCTCATGTTAGCAAGGCTGGCATCGGTCGCGGTCGGGTCGGGCCAGTGTCTCGGTGTGGAGAACAGATTGCACGTCTCCCCAAATGATCAAGGCACGCCCAGCAGCAACAAGGGCTGGAAGAAGCTCCAGCAAGAGTGAGATGCCGGAGAATCAGCCCCAGCCACTTCTCCATCCCCCGCCATCGCCCTAATCTTTTCAGGCCAGGCGAGGGAGGGGAGGGCAAGGGGTGGGGCCAGCCAATGATGGGACAGGGAGCCACGGCAGAGGGCCAAAAGAGCTGCATGCGGCTCTGGAGCCGCGGGTTGCCGACACCCAGTCTACCCCAAGAAATCCCACTTCTCTGATCAAATGGGACAGCCTCCAGGCCCTTTATATCTCAAAAGCAAATACAAATGGAAGAAATTAAAAACAAATCAATTACAGGTAGTCCTCATTTACCGACTGCTTGTTCAGCAATCATTAAGAGTTATGGAGATGATGAACAAGTAGCATTTGTGGCTGTCAATAGAATCCCCGTGGTCATTTAACAGAAGGACAGAGTTGGAAGGGACCTTGGACGTCTTCTAGTCCAAACACCTGCTCAAGCAGGAGACCCTATACTCGGAATGACCTATAAGTACTGTCAAGTTACGTATTTTCCAAAGTGTTGACATTTTCTTATTTTCTACCTTTTTTCTTTGTTTTTCCTTTAATTTTTTATGCTTTTATTCTAATAAATACTAATAAAATATTGCAAAAGAAAATAGATTTAATGTATTGTAATTGTTTTTTTTAATATTTTTTTGGGGGTGCTTGGCAACTAGCACACATTTACAAGTCACAGTGTCCCAAGTTCATGATTGCCATTTATGATTTTCACAGTGGGCTTCTGTCAAGCAAAGCCAATGGGGAAGACGGCAGGACGTTGCAAGTCAGAGTTACATATCATGCTTAACGACCGTGGATTCACTTAACTGACATCATAGGTTGGGTAGAGTTACGTGATGTGTCACTTTACAACTACAATGCTTATGACGGAGTTGCCAGTCTCAGCTGTGGTTGGTGAGGACTACCAGAAAAATACAAAATAGGATTGCAAAGATTTTTTTTCCCCATTACAAAGACAAAACTGTAGGGATTTCCAAATTCTGACTCCCTTGTCCTTTCTCATAAATAGCCAAATGAAGCATTTCAGTCTTATTGAAGTACAGAGCTACCTATCTTTGAAATTCATACATGGAATTGGTCGAGTGAAATGCATTCCCATGTTAATGTCGCCTTGCTTGTTAGAAGCAGGTGCAAGTAAGCCCAAGAGAGGAACAGTGCCTCAATATGCAGTATTTCTGCATGCAAAGAGATCTGAAGTAGATGGATTTCTAAAAGCAATTTCTCTGGGGTAATTCGGGAAGTGGCTCAAGTCATTAAAACTAGATTGTACTGTATCAGAAACAATGAACCTCCATTAGTTCTAACTAACTAGTCCCAACACTTCTTCCTCCCCTAAAGAGTCCTAATGCCCTTCTCCTTAATCAAAACTTGACTGTTTCCAGCCTCTCCCACCATGACTTTACAAGATGAAGAACCCTAGGCTTCAAACTCACTTGGCTGACTTCACTGTCTGTTGACCGTCCTCGTTTCTTATCATCTTCAGAGTTCTCCTAAAAAGGAAAAAGAAAGGTTGAGTACCTCAGCACAAAGCAGCATCTAACCATCTGTCTAAGATGAGAAGAGAGTTCAGCCCTGGTTCATATTTGAAGGGAGACTGGGCATTTGAGGAGACTGGGTAGACTAGTTAAGCAAACCAGCATCTCCCAGAAGGTGACAATGGCAAAATACATTTGTAACCTTGCCCTGTGAACTGGGCGGATGTAGCTAGCAGGCCCCGAGTACAACTGAAAGGCATCTGTAAGCATCATCACAGGAAAAGGTGTTCTCCTGCGAGTAAACATGGAAGCTGACCTCATGAAGCCCTCATCAGTTCAAGCATGTATGCTTCGTTCCCACAAACCCATGGATGTTCCCTCACCATCTTCACCAAGAACCCTCCTTACCGTTGTGCAGTTTGCAGGGCTGGGCGGGATTGGGGAGCTGGATGTGGTTGAGGTGGGTGTACTGCTGGACTGGTTGAACATCTCATCTTCCATGTGACTATGGCTGGGTGGGGAAGTGGCTACCAGTGCCTGTGCTGGAAGACCAAGAGCAAGAAAAGATGAAGAGAGACGTTTCTGCAATCAGGCAGAAACATTATGGCCAGCTAAGGCAAACACAGAAAACTTACCTTAGTACATTTGAATTCTAGAACAGGGTCCCCAACCCCTGGTCCCTGGACAGGCACCAGGCCACAGCATGCCAGAAACTGGGCCAGGCAAACAAACAAAGCCCTATCTGCAGGATGCAGGCAGCATGTGAAACCATGCCACCTCTGGTCCATGGAAAAATCTTTCTCCACAGAACTGGTCCCTGGTGCCCAAAAGGTTGGGGACCACTGTTCTACATGTTTAAGTGCAAGATTTTGTAAAATATAATGATCTTTTTACATCTTACAGACTAACCAATGTCTTATGAAGAAGCTTTCGTGGATCACACTTACTCTTACACAGGTAGGCCTCAATTTAAAACCATTCATTTAGTCATTTAGTGACCATTTACAACGGCATAAAAAAGTGACTTATGACCATTTTTCATCACACTTACAACTCTTACAGTATCCCCATGGTGCCATGATCAAAATTTGGATGCTTGACAACTGTCTCACTTAGTTGTTAATTAGAAATTCTGTCCCAATTGTGGCCATAGGTCAAGTACAGGTAGTCCTTGACTTACAACAGTTTATTTAGTGACTGTTCAAAGTTACAATGGCACTGAAAAGAGTGATTTATGACAGTTTTTCACACTTATGACCATTGCAGCCCCATGTTGACATGATCAAAATTCAGGTGCTTGGCAATTGGCTCATGTTTATGACGGTTGCAGTGTCCTGGGGTCATATGATCTCCTTTTGCAACCTTCTGACAAGCAAAGGCAGTGGGGAAGCCAGGTTCACTTCATAGCCATGCTAGTTTACTTAACAACTGCAGTGATTCATGTAACAACTGTGGCAAGAAACGTCACAAAATGGGACAAAGCTCACTTAGCAACTCTTGCTGAGCAAGAGAAATTTTGGGCTCAATTGCGGTCGTAAGTCGAGGACTACCTGTCCATAAAAATAAAAGGAGAGCTAATACCAAAAAGCTATTTTTGTTGAAAGAAAATCCCATCATTATTTCTTGGAGGAAAAACAAATTAATTCTGACAAATGAGTAAAAATTACAGCTATGCCTTGTTTTGCAACTGCCTTAGTTGGCGTCTATTTGCAAATACTATGGTAATAAATAGTATTAAAAATACATTTTCCCACTGGTGTGCCCGACAATGAAAGCCATCAATGTGAAAATGATTAATAGTTTCAGGTTGTAATTAGCTAATTAAGATCACAGAACTGAGCCTGGTTAACTTGCAGTTAGCATGTTTTAGGGAAATACTGGGCTGGGGACAAACGCAGTTCAGCAAGAAATCACTTGTTTAAGCTATGTCTCCATTCTGTGAGGAGGCAAAACAGGGGAAAAATGGTCAGACACAGGACACTGTACAGAGAACTTTATCTGAAACAGATGGCAGCAAACAGTGATCTTTCCAGCATCTCTAAGTATTCACTTAGTCACCATTTTGCTTAACAACCGTTGGAATAGAATGTGGTTGTTAAATGAGAATGTATAGTCATGACTGCAGTTCAAAAAGTAAGAGAATCTGCCGTGAACATTGAAAGCCAAATATAGGGGGCTCTGAAGGCAGATGCTGCCTTTACATTGACAAGGTCCCAAGTTTTATGGGGAGGGAAACTATACTGATTTTATTGCAACCACTTCAACTGTAATCTCCCGCATCCCACTGTCCACCTGGAGGTAACACTTACGAATGTCTTCTAAGTCGAGGTCATCATAGAGAAACTCATTCTCCTCAAAATCGGGGTCTTGCGAAGAATCTACGTAATACTCCACATCGTCCTTGATTTTGCGGATAGAGTCCACGTTGATGGAGTCATTGTCCAGCATGCGCAGAATTGTCTCCAGCATCCGGATGTGGTACCGATGCTTCTCAATGTGCCGCTTCAGGCCCTCAATCCGGTCTTGCTTCTGTTTCCCGTGGGAAGAACAAGTTGGATCACACTAAACCAGCGTTTCTTGACCTTGGCCACTTTTAAAATGCTGGCTGGGAATTCTGGGAGTTGAAGTCCACACATCTTTAAAAGTTGCCACGGTTGAGAAATGCTGCACTAAGCCATAAGGGGGCTTGTTGGGTTCTGACTTAGTGAATTCCTAATTCACCAATTCCAATGCATTTTATAATGCACCATTTCCTGACCTCCAAATACCTTCCAAATATGTTGGTGCCGCAAAACTCTTGGAAGGGGAATCCTGTCTCACCAATCTTCAGAGAGCATGTTATAAAATGTTATTGACTGCTCAAGCTTTTTGAAAAAAAAGACAGGTAAAATATGCCTCTGAAATAATTGCCAATATATGCTACGTTCTGAAATGCTAAGTCCAACTTGGGCATGAAACTTAGGCTATCCTCTTGCAATGCAAAGTGACTGTCAATTCACAATTCAGTTAACCTGTCTCCGATATTGGACTGATTCCGAGGAGACACAGTTTCTAATCCATCCTCAGCCATGGAAGTTCCTTTGAGTACCCTGGGCCAGTTACTTTCTCTCTTCAGCCCAGCTCACCTCACAGGGCTCTTGCTGTGGGGAAAAATAAAAAGTACCCAGTACACTACCGTGAACTCCTGAATGAAAAGAATGATTGGATCTAATCAATAAAGGATTTGACAAAACTTCAAATGCCTGGATTTTCAATACTGGAACATCTTAATGAAGCCACAGGACCACTCCATTCATTAATTCCCAATGCACTGTAGGCACAAGCTTCTAAAGAGATATTTCATCAACTCACATCCTTGTCTCCTTTCTTCTTGCGCGTCTGGACCGAGAGTGACTCTACTTCGCTCTCAAACTGATCCACCTGCATATTCAAGGTGTCTATTGTATTCTGGGAGGGAGGGAGGGAGCAGACAGACAGATCATTATCCAGTCAGACAGTGAAATAGGCAAACATACAGGTGAAACTCAAAAAATTAGAATATCATGCAAAAGTTCATTTATTTCAGTAAGGCAACTTAAAAGGTGAAACTAATATATGAGATAGACTCATTACATGCAAAGCAAGATAGTTCAAGCCGTGATTTATCAAAATTGTGATGATTATGGCTTACAGCTCATGAAAACTCCAAATCCACAATCTCAGAAAATTAGAATATTACATGCAATCAATAAAACAAGGATTGTACATAGAACAATATCGGACCTCTGAAAAGTATAAGCATGCATATGTATTCAGCACTTGGTTTGGGCCCCTTTTGCAGCAATTACTGCCTCAATGCAGCATGGCACGGAAGCTATCAGCCTGTGGCACTGCTGAGGATGCTTCAATAGAGGCCTTCAGCTCTTCCGCATTGTTTGGTCTCATGTCTCTCATCTTTCTCTTGGCAATGCCCCATAGATTCTCTATGGGGTACAGGTCAGGCGAGTTTGCTGGCCAATCAAGCACAGTAATCCCATGGTCATTGAACCAGGTTTTGGTGCTTTTGGCAGTGTGGGCAGGTGCCAAGTCCTGCTGGAAAATGAAGTCAGCATCCCCATAAAGCTTGTCTGCAGAAGGAAGCACGAAGTGCTCCAAAATCTACTGGTGGAAGGCTGCGTTGACCCTGGACTTAATGAAGCACAGTGGACCAACACCAGCAGATGACATGGCTCCCCAAATCAACACAGACTGTGGAAACTTCACACTGGACTTCAAGCATCTTGCAGTGTGTGCCTCTCCATTCTTCCTCCAGACTCTGGGTCCCTGGTTTCCAAATGAGATGCAAAAGTTGGTCTCATCAGAAAAGAGGACTTTGGACCACTGAGCAACAGACCAGTTCTGTTTTTCTTTAGCCCAGGTAAGACGCTTCTGACGTTGTTTGTTGTTCAGGAGAGGCTTGACAAGAGGAATACGACATTTGAAGCCCATGTCCAGGATCCGTCTGTGTGTGGTGGCTCTTGATGCGCTGACTCCAGCCTCAGTCCACTCCTTGTGAAAGTCCCCAACACTTTTGAATGGCCTTTTCCTGACAATCCTCTCCAGGCTGTGGTCATCCCTGTTGCTTGTGCACCTTTTTCTTCCACACTTTTCCCTTCCACATAACTTTCTATTCATGTGCTTTGATACAGCACTTTGGGAACATCCAACTTCTTTTGCAATTACCTTTTGAGGCTTTCCCTCCTTATGGAGTGTGTCAGTGATGGTTTTCTGAACAACTGTCAGGTCAGCACTCTGTCCCATGATTATGATTCCTACTGAACCTGACTGAGAGACCATTTAAAGGTTCAGGAACCCTCTGCAGGTGTTATGGCTTAATTAGCTGATTAGAATGGGACACTTTGAGCCTAGAATATTGAACCTTTTCACAATATTCTAATTTTCTGAGATTGTGGATTTGGGGTTTTCATGAGCTGTAAGCCATCATCATCACAAATATGACAAATCACAGCTTGAACTATCTTGCTTTGCATTTAATAGGTTCACCTTTTAGGTTGCATTACTGAAATAAATTAACTTTTGCATGATATTCTAATTTTTCGAGTTTCACCTATACTTACAAGGTTCTTTAGCTACGCAGGAAAAGGGAACTAACTAGGGTAGTAGTAAGAATTAATGGGACATTTAAATAACCTTGTTAATGAAGCAGATCATTGCCAATCACCCAATGGGTAAAACAAAATTAATCTACAGCCTAGGATTTCCAACAGAAAGTCCCAGAAATTCTGAGAGATGTGTGAAAGATTGAGAGCATAAATACCTTGTGTGCAGACTGGAAGTTTCACCTTCTTCAGAATTGCAATTGTACTAACTTCCTGCCTATGGTCTATTTTCTAAAAAGCGTTTTGTCAATATCATTTGCTAGGTAATCTAATACACGATAAATGGCATATATCAGACATTTGTACCATAGAAGTGTCTCTGGTGGCTCTCTTTAAAAAAACCATCTGATTTATTTTAAGAACATTTCCTGGGCCACAGTCCATAGATCTGATGAAATGCTATCTTGAATGGCAGAAGCTGTTTCCTGATGAGGCTTCTGCAGGGCACTGGGCTGCTCTTAATACCAGTGACAGACTTATTTCTGGACTATTGTTTTTTTACCATTTCTGCTTCTATGTATGTACATGGGGGGGAGGTGCTTACTGTGTTTTCTTCATTTAATTTCCTCCTGATCTCAGTGTTTCTCTTTCTCCTTTAAATATATAATGAAAGCACAGATCGTGACAATTAGGTATTACTAAAAGCAGCCAGCTCCCCAGTTGTTTGTGATGGTATTCTTAACAAGCTATGTGCATTAATTAGCTTGCCAATGCCAGGATCTCAGAGCTATAAACTACCATTTGGCCAATGCATCTTGCAGCTCTTCCTAACCAGTGTCTTTCCGTTATCTATAGCCAGAAGACTCCAATATTAACACTAACTGGAGATGCTACTTTTGTCATTATCAGTCCTTGTTGCATATTCCTTCCTTCCTTCCTTCTGACTCTACTTTTATTTCTTCTGATCCATTAAGTTTGGCAAGCCATTTAGGGTCATGATTGAGTTGTACGATATACAAATAAATGAGTAACTGTGCACATATGTGCACAAAAGCTGCACCCAAATGCCATTCAAGCCTGTTTATCCTGCATTTCAGGAAGAATTTCTACAAGCTTGTGTTTAACTGGAACTATCATTTGTCTGGAGCACACTAAAATGCCCAATACAAAGGTAAATTCTGTAAGACACCACTTTCACAGCCAAACATTTCAACTTTCCCCAATTTCCAAGCCTGAACAGAAAACAGCCCTTGTAAATTGCTTCTTCACTGTTAGAAAACCAAGGCCAGGTTGCAATTCAAATCACTACATTTCCTAATTGAAGCAATTTTTAAAAAATAAAAAATCAGTGGGCCCCCACAATGGATGAACCGCTGCAGAAGTTGATGGGAGTTAGCAGAGATGGCCAAACTGACTGCTTTGATTAAAGACAAAAATACAACTACTTTTCTTTCTACTTGGAAACCACTTCTGGACTTTGTGCTCGAGGTGGGAAAAAATGAAACATTGACTTTGGGTTTTATTGATTAGATGGATTTGTTGTTATAGAAATGACTAGTTTATACTATCATGTAAATGTAAAAAATTGAGATTTGATGTTGTTCTACTGCAGCAAAGGAAGTCGGAAATCAACACCTTTTTTTTTTCTTTTCCCTACTTTTCCCTTCCTTTTTCCCTCCCCTATCTTTCCTACTATTTTCTTTTGTATTTCTGTATTGTATCTTATAGTATTAATACATACATAAATCAAACTTTGGTTAAAAAAACAACAACAGTGTGCCAAGAGATGGAGACGCACAACTTCTGTTAAAAAACTGCCATGTTCCAACATCATGGAACCCCAAACCTATTCCCCAAACTACACTGGTCACTGACAACTGATATGAACCAAGTTGAAGAAAGTCCCTCTGGGTTCAGAGGAGAAAACAGATCCATATGGACCGCCAAGGTCCTTTCCAGCCCTATGATTCTATGGCCAGCTTCAACCTCTGTTCTGCATTCAATGAGTTCAAAGCTACGGCTGCATTCTTCTTATCATGCAACTGTCTGTTTAGCAAAGGGTCATCTTCATCACCAGAACTTCTCCCTTATTCAGGCAAGATAACTTATTTTCAGATTGTCATGAGACCTTTTGCCACTGAACAAAAATATCCACAAGAATTCTTGGATTCTTGGAATTCTTGAATTTGGAAGACAAAAAAATCCAGCTTTGTTCTTTAACCTTAGAGGAGGGGAGGAGGGAAAGGGCTCTTTTAGATCTTAAGACTGTCAACCACAGCAAAATTACAGAGTTTCAGGGTACTCTTTGCCCTACCTAGTAACTTCTGATAAGTTACATAAGTAATTTCTAATATGGATCCTTTACATTTTCAATCTAAGGTTGGGAAAAGGGGCATTGGTCTTACCTGAGACACTCCTTCTCAGAGGGTGGAGATAGGATCCAGACAGCATGGGATGACTCTGGTCTACTTGCTCTATAGATGAGTTTAAACTGAGGACACAATTCATCCTCCTTAATGGTCCACAGTTTTCGATGAGGTCAAAGCGATGCACGTGGTTGATGGCAAATTTCCACACGCACCCCTGCACCCCAGACCAGACGGTCTTCAGGGTGGGGCTGGATCCTATCTCCACCCTCTGAGAAGGAGCGTCTCAGGTAAGACCAACGCCCCTGCTCCAGAGTGGTGTCGATAGGATCCAGACAGCATGGGACATACCAAAGCTGATGTCCTACGGGCGGGTCATCGGCTGGTCATGAGTCTGGGTTGTTGTCAATACTTGTTGCAAGACCCATCTGCCAAAAGCTGCATCCACTGAGGCGAACGTATCAACTCTGTAATGTCAAATAAAAGGTGAAGAAGACCAGGTTGCTGCTCCACAAATTTCCTCCACCGAAGCCTAAGTGGCCCATGCAGCTGTTGTCGCTGCGCTTCATGTGGAGTGGGCCGTAATTTGTTTTGGTCTGGTGAGCCCTTGCAAGTCGTACGCCGTAGTGATGCAGCCCGATCCACCTGCCTATGGCCGACGGTGTAATCTTCTGACCCATTGTAGTTGGTTGAAAAGATACAAACATAGCCTCCGTTCTTCTAAAGGCTGCAGTCTGCTTAATATATATACGGAGGGCCCACCTAACATCTAATGTGTGCCAGATCCGCTCCCAGGCATGCGAGGGCGCTGGGCAAAAGTCCGGCAAGATCAGTTCCTGTGCTTGGTGGAAGTAGGAATTTATCTTAGGGATGAAGGCCAGGTCCAACCTTAGGACAACACCGTTGACGTGGAAAATACAAAGGTCCTCCCTGACCGAAAGGGCCGCCAGCTCCGATACCCTCCTGGCTGTGATAGCCACAAGGAAAACTACCTTGTACGTTA